CTGCTGAACTCTGGGTTGAACCCAGTAAGTGCACCAGGTGCGGGCTCTTCTCCTGCACCTTGAACACTTCCATTGCAAGAGAATCTCCCTCCCGCCCCCATCAACCAACTCATTGACAGGGCAGAGGAATGGAGAAAGGGAATTCTCCTGGGGCTCAGGGGAAGGAGAGGAAGGTCTCCAGCCCCAAACCTGCACTCCTCCAAGTTGAACTGGAGTGCACCAGGGGGTTTACTTCTGTGGCAGGAACTATGAATTTGGACAGAGTGCTTTCCACATCCTCATCCAGGTCGCTGATGAAGATATTAAACAGCACCAGCCCAAGGACCGTGTCTTAGGGGACCCCGCTGCCCACATCTTTCCAGGTTGATACTGAGCCATCCACCACCACTCTCTGGGTACAACCCTTAAGCCAACTTGCCACCCACATGACTATGTAGTCATCTATGGCACAGCTGTTCAATGTGTTTATGAAAATAGGATGGGATACCATATTGAAGGCCTTCTTGAAGTCCAAGTAGATGACATCTACCTCGACTCCTGTGTCTAAGCATTTAATAACCTGGTCATAGAAAGAAACAAGGTTACTCAGGCAGGATCAACCTGCTATGAGCCTGTGCTGGTTGCCCTTCAGCATTATATTACCCGCTGGACTCCTACAAATGTGATTCTTGACAATTTTATCAAGGGTTTTCCCAAGGACAGAGGTGAGATTAAGTTAGATCAGGAGGAGGAAAATGTTCCTTCTAGGTACTGGTTCTAACTTCTTGCTGAAGAGCCTATCGTCTTCCACAAGAAATGTTGAACATCTGTACAAGTCCCTTTTGCATTTGGGGGGGCGGGGATAAGGAATGTATGTAGGTGGTTGGTATCTCAAACCCATACCCTGCCAGGATGCCAAATCATGAACTGCTACTTCTCATGATGAAAAAAAGATATCACGTTGTATTCAAAGAAGACATTTCCCCCTTCTGGTTCAAACAGGCAGCCATCTAATCAACACTGAAGAAACTGGCTGTGGATCCCTCTTTCATAACTAACTATGCCAATATAAACCGTCCACTCATGAGTAGGCTCATACAGAAGCTAATCAAAATTAACTTTCCACTATGCAGATTCTAGTACTTCAGGCTGGAGACCAGGATCAGCCTATAGATATAAGCTTTTACTACTGTTTGAAGGATAGCCTTTTTGTAACAACTTCCAAGACCGTGCAATACAGGTTTCCCTTGCCAACCCTGGTTTTGCCAACCACGGTTTTGAGTAACCACGCTTAATATTCTATATACCGTTTTGGCTACCATGGTATACAGTTTTGCGTACCCATGGTTTTCCATGGCCATGCATCAGCCTGCCACCTGCCATTTTTCCCATAAGCCTTTTGTCTTGCTAACCACAATTTTGCCAACCTCAGGAACTTTCAGGAACCTTACCCCAGGAGTTGGCAAGGGAAACCTGTAAAATTTTCTGCAAGGACTGGAGGCCATTGTACTTTTGACCATCTTCCTAGATTCAAAAGGACAGGTAATATTCTTCTTAAGTCCTCTTTCTAGGACTTAACAGACAGGCAATATTATGTCTGTATGTATATGAAAAACACACACACACACACACACAGCAACATATGTACAGACACACTCATAACCACATCTTATGAATTTATTGCAGCATGTAAGGTCAGAAAATAATTTTTCCACTTAAAGTGTAACCTGATGGAATCTGATTTTATTTGAAGAGATTTTCAAAACAAAAACACTGCACTGTACATTTTGTTCCTATAGAAAGGATAAGAAAACAAATACCGTATTTTCTTGCATATAACATGTCCCCTAATATAACATATACTATTTTGGAAGGCCTAGAGCAGGGGGGAAAAAAACAAAACAACAACAACAAAAAACTTACCTTGGAGTGTGGGTAAGTACCAGTGGCACTTATGGGGACATCACAGCCAGATCCAGCATGCTCGCACTGGGACCATGTGATGCAGCAGGGCTTGATCTAGAACACCGCACAACCAGGCCCAATCTGGTATGCTGGGGCTGCACAGAGCAGCTAGATCCAACATGCTGGGTGTGGGGCTGCATACCTGGTCTGACCCTGTGTACTGGCTCCAGAACCATGTGCTGGGTCAGACCCAAAGTGGGCAGGCCCAGCCACGGATCAACCCCATATACGTCGTTTGGTGTGTGGTTGGGGATTAGGGTTCCTCAGACTTAGAAATCTGGTGGTGGGGGGAGTGGTGGCAACATTATTTGCTATGGCACTGGGAGCTGCCACTGCTTCAAGGCCCATGTTGCTTAATTCACTACTGAGAGGCGCTTGCATAATATGGTGACAGCATATGGCAATAGCATAATAGCCTACATAGAACCAAATATTTTATAAAAGTTTAAAAGTTACCTAAGCGAAGCAAAATGAACACTCATTAACTCTTGCATCAGTTATGGTTAGTAATTACCACCTACTTTATGTGAAAAAGATATAAAATAGCAATTTCTGTACTCAGTTGTTGAACACAGGCAGACGGGATCTCATCCAATGTTTGTAAGTGAAGTTCTCTGCTTTTTACTCTCTGTTGACTTAGAAAACTGATTTTTCACATAATATTCCACTTGGCTTCAAGGTTAATCAAACCTAATCAACTTCTGCCACCTTGTGGAGAATTTTGAGTAAGCAAGGTTTAATTAAGATGCAAGTTCAATATAGAAATGGAACAAAAATCAGCTGATAGCAAAATCATTTTCCAGGTGGAAAAACAGTTGAAGTGAACCATAATTTATCTTAAATTCTTGTATCTCTAATCTAATGGGAATAGTGTTAGGCCAACACCACCAACTTCCAGCATCTCCATCCCAATGTTCTAACTGAAATGCTGATTTTGAACCTGTTGCAGGACATTTTACCAGACTCTTTCAGTTCCTTAATCTTGATGACATGAATACCACTATACTCTTACAAAAATGCTAAATGTTTACACCAGAACCGAATGGTCATTCTGGGACCTCAATAAATTTGCAAAGGAAGTGCTTTAAGAGTTGTAAGTATGATAGTACAGTTTGACACCATGAGGGCCTGGGGCAGAGGAGGAAAGTGGGTAGGTAAGAAGGCCAAAATCATTTAACTAAATCTGGGACAACACAGACTAAAATGCCTTAGTCATAATCGCACTTACATGGGGTCATAGCAGAGTAGAATTAACAGTGAATGCACAAACCGTTATGTTTCCCATAAAAAACAATATTTTATCATTTCATTGCAGAGAACCAAAATTTGGTTCAGTCTAATTCAGAAATTCTAACTGGCAGATGTATGATGATAAAGCAGAAATTAAACAGGCGACAGTCTCACCTGAGCATTGGTCTAGGTGGAGGCGGTGGCTCATCAGGGTCTTGACACCTCTTTGCTTTTTTAGTGGCTTGCTTATAGATGTTACGAGATGTCACTCCTACCCACAACACTGTGGCTAGAGTAGAATAATGAAGAATTATCCCAACCTGAAAAATAAATGTTAACACACAAGCTTCATTAGTTCATAAAACAAATCATTTTACAGTTTTGTGTTTTACTTGAATGCTGCTTGAAAACTTTAAGGTGAACCGTTCTAAAGAATAATAGTGATATGTTATTATGATTTAAACTAAAATACACCTCCTCCCCTCCAGCCCTTGCAAGTTATTTAAAAATATCTTCATGTTGATTAGTAGTTTACAAAAAAGATTAAATAAGGTGGTCACAGCCAGTCCAATATGCCTAAAATTATAAACCAAATACATTTAAACATGGTGCAGGTAGGTATATGTTAAGTTAAAAATGTTCACAAGAGGATTACATGTTTAAATTGAAAAAAGTGAGAGACTGACAAATTACGGTGCTCATGGTAACTGTGTTCTGTGCATGGGGATTTAATGGGGCAAAATGAGGTTGCTTGACAAGGTGCCTGACTGATTTTAATGCAAGGTAAGGAGGACCTGCAGTGCTTAAACACACAACTGAAGCAGCATTTGAAAGTACAAGTCACATACTGAGCATGCAATATTATTGTAGGAAAACAACAGTCAAGTTTTCAGACTTCTTGTACATATGTATTCTTAAAAACTCATTTATGTAGGGTTTTTAAATAATTTTTTATTCGATTTTTATTAACAGAGGAGGAAAAAAAACAATCTGTGCCCGTCTAAAGTCTGAATTTTATACTTTATTTACTTGCACTTTATCACCGCTATTTGTTCACATACATCACATAAGAGAACTGTCTCTTTTTGAGAAAAAGGTGACACGCAGCGGTAATTCAACAGAGAAGAAACACAACAAGAGATGGAGGAAGTTTTAGTAAAAAAAAAAACAACTTCCCACATGTCTTTTGTTTGAAAGCTAGAGTATTTGGCATGTTAGCAAGACATTTACAATCTTCTTCATGCAAACTAACCCAATAGTAGCTCCTGGGCCTATAAAGATCTCATCACAAGCTGGAACACTACAAACTAAGGCTAATACAGGTGAAATTTTAGGGGCACTTAAAAGACAGGAACATTTGGGATAACCTTTTTGAATTGTTAGCCATATAAATAAAAAGTAAAAGAAAGTGAATGTTATGACAAGCATACAATTTCTTGAGCTACCCCTGAAGTTACTGTGTCCTGAGCATTCAGAGTGAGTTCTGAGTGTTTCTAAGGAAGTTACAATTCAAAAAACGTTTAACTAATATTGATCCAAAAAGGGCACTTGCAATTACAGCTGGAAATCTGCAACTGGCTTAGATATGACACGGAGAATCAAATATCAATCTCAGCAGAGGAAGGCTATATAAAATAAATGTTGACAACAGCAGAAAATCATAGGCTGTATGAAACTAGCGTTTTTGTTGTCTTTAATTTGGAAAAAAAACCCTCTTAAAAACAGGAGGTTAAGTACAAAAAGTAAGAAAGTATTCAGTCTTTACAATATATACTTATATGACATATAGACCATGCTAGAGTTCTTGACACTACCGATTTTACAACTGTTATACAACTAATACGTAAAAAGGTTAGCGATTTTACCTTAAAAAAAAATGTGCGTTATTTTCTATTCTGCTCTAATCCTATTAGATATTTTTCAAGTTTTGAGATTGGCTTTTAATTCTTTCCTTGACAGGCAGATGAAATCCATATCTCTGGTGATGTCAGAGGTCATGGAGTTTGTCTACTGCCTGGTGACTTTCAACTGAAGTGAAGATTTACTACCATTTTGCCAATCATATAGGGGAGTGATACAGCTGTTAACATTTATTTCCTTAAATGTAATTAGTCATGATTAGAAGTTCTGTATATGCTGTCCAAGATGTAAATAGTTTTTCCTACCACTAGTAGTGAACTTGACTTGCCATAACATTTTCTCCAGCAGTTTGGGGCAAAATCTGTTATTACATGTATATAATACATGTAATATATTACATTACATGTATATACATACTCAATACATACTCATACATACTCAAATGTTATATGAGTATTATAACATTTTCAAGGAACTCTTAGCCATTCCTTTACATTTACTAGTTTCTTGATTTTTTTCTTTTTTTATATATATACTTTTCTGTGTTTACTTACTGCTTGGCAAATGCTGGCATTTCTGGTCTGAGTTATACCTCCAATAAACATCACACACGTCAGGAAAATATGAAAGCTCAGGTTAACTAACATGTGCCAGCTTTTAAGGCTAATCCTGATCACGCTGTTAAAAGAAATGTAGGTCAGTCAATATAAACACACAGTTGCCTGCTCATCTTTCAAAAGCTAAAGTGAGATTTCTCAAAATGGGAGTGCAATGAACTTGCAATGAACATTAGCCATCATCTCTTTTTACAAATGTAATCATTACGTTTTTATCATAATAAAATTAAAGATAAATACCATTAAGGAGTTTTTTCTTTATACAAAACACTTAAGTCTTAAGAAGGATCCCTTGTTTTATAAATTTGAATCCTTTCATATGGACAAAAAGGGTATTAATTAAATTAAAGTCTGGAATAGATCAAATAGCAGTCATTTAACTTAAAATGTGAAACAAGAATTTGTTTGTACAAGCAAAATTTATGAAGATAAATTTATAGCACATGTGTCTGTTAAAAAGGAGGCCTGGTTAAAATATTTGGGTGTAAGTTTATATACGACAGTGTTTGCATTAAATACTGTGTAAAAGGCTTGTGGAAAGCAACTTTTCTCTATGAGTCCATAAATTAAAGGGTAATGGGACTGACAACACTCTATTTGCTCCTTTGAACACCTAAATCTTAGATGCTGGTAGGGCCCATATACACCTGGGCCAGTAATTCTAAACCCTTATGTAAACATGTATTTAAATTAATACGTCTTTGATTTCATGCAACAACTGTAGATACAACCTACTGCACTATAACTTCAGTCTCCATTAATTTTATTTCTTACCCATGATGGTATGTGTAGCTGACTATAATCATCAAGAGGCACATCAGTAAAACCATGGCAGTGGCATAAATAACTGGGTGTAAAAGATCAGCTGGCTGGGTATATAGTTCAGCTCCTGTCAAATCCTAACAGTAAAAAACAAGTAGCATTAGTAGGTTCTCCTTTTTCTCCAGTTCAGCATGGGGATCTGGAAGGAAATAAATAACTGGGACTTTAACTGTAATAAAAAGGATACTGGCGCATACATCTTTCAAGCAGTTTGGGCCAGTTGCTCAGGCCAGGCGGGCCCTCAGCTGCAGGGAAGCTGTGCTGGAGCTGTGTGGCCAGCTCAGGCTGAACTGACCAAGGAGGGGTCTAATTCCCCCCTTCCCTGTCCCACCAGCAGGGACCCGAGCCAGGACTGTTGGACGCTCCCCCCTCGCTGCTGTATCGGTGGGCCGGCATGGCTCCTGAGGCAGAGGGGGCAGGGAGGGGGTTATTCTCCACTCTAGCCCTGCTCTGTCCCTGGGGGACCAAAGCCAGGTCTACCCACCCAGACAGCCGCTGCTGCTCAGCCCCTGCTTGGGGCAAGTGGTGGAATAAGCCCCCTGCTGTGCCCTCTGCTGGACGCCGGAGAGAGGACAAATAACCTCCATCACTGCCCCCTGCCTAAGGAGCCCTGCCGGCCAGCATCTGGCTCTGCCCCCACTGCAGTGGTGAGGGGGCAGGACTCTTGATGGGGCAGCAGCCCCTGTCATTGTGTCAGGAAGTGTGAGCCCTTTCCTGGCAGGGGGGCCCTGCTGCAGGGCAGGCAGAGCTGTGGCAGACTGCGCATAGCAACACTGGGGCTCAGAAACAGGGCTCGCACCACCGCCGTGGTCCACAGCAGCTTTCCCCGCTAGGAAGGGGCTGCTGCCCCCATCATGGTCGCTCCCCCCTTGCTGTTCCAGTAGCTGGGTGGGGGCAGGAGTGGGGCCAGACGGTGGTGGGCAGGGCCCCTTAGGCAGGGGGCAGGGAGAAGTGTCATTCCCCGCTCTGCCCCCGGGGCAATGCAGAAGGATCTGCCCACCCAGGCAGCCACTCGCTCTGTGTCTGGGGCAAGTGGCAGAATAAGCCCCCTGTGCCAGACAGAGTCCTGAATTTGACTAGTATATAAATGGAAATTCCAAGTACCAAAGGCATACGCTAAGGAAAAGTTGCTGAACACGTAAGAATTACGGCTGCTTACAGACATGAAAAAAAACCCCAAAACCCTCTAGTGCTTTACTTTAAGATTGGCATGTCTCTGTGCGAGTGCAGCGCATGCCTTAGAAGAGGCATCATGTTAGTTTGACCCAGCTTGTCTAGTATCTGTATAGATCGTGCGCTTTAGTGAGGCTTTTTGGCGCTTTTATCTAATAGCTGATCAAATCAGCTTTAGATAAAAGCACCAGAAAGCCCCGCTGAAGCACCCGATCTATACTGACACTGGGGAGCCAGGTCAAACTAATGCACTTTCTCTTTCAGTAAAGCTCTGGGGTACCCCCCCGCCCCCACACGTCATAGCCTATTAGAGCACAGGAACCAAGCCGCAATATTTCATATTCTGACTCTATTTCATTCAACCCCATTGACTGCAAGATATAATTAAAGGATTAGGGCACTTGTAACTGGCCAGTGCTGCTACGATACCTTCCTATTCTTCCTGTTTCAACTTGGTAAACTGACAGTCTTCAGTAAACTGCAAAAGGCCTCCTCTACTGTTAGTGATACTAAAGTTAAGATGGTATTTAATCAGCAATCAAGATCCAAAAAATGTTGAAAGAAGTTTCAAGAAATCATTCATTTCAGTGGCCATACCTGCTTTGATGATCATACATTTTATACATAAGGATTTGTGCTGGGTAAATTAAAACAAGTTATTTTCAACAAGAGCAGATGTAATATCAGCTATAGCAGAAAATCATGATCATAAGCTTTCTAAGACAAATTTTGACAATATCTGTGCCTTTAACATTCTGTTTAATGACAATCTTACTTGGCTGACAAACAGAAACTCAAAGTCATTGACAAGCATTATGTTTTTGGTGGGAAATACGCTATTTTTCTGGCATAAAAAGCATACAGGCATTCCAGTGGTTTGCGGAGAAAAACACACAGCAATTTTGATACAAACTATTTCAACCAGCAACTTCGATGAAGAATCATTTTTTTCTAGCTCTATGTATAAACCTGTTTAGTTTTACATAACAGGATGGAGTCCCTAGAACCTACAGTATCCCACAGTCCTCTGCTGTCCTCCCTGCCTCCAATGGGGAAGGAAAGAAAAAGAGCAGGTAGCTCCCCAATAGCCTACCCAGCTACTTGTTAGAAAACTTCAAAATCAGTAGATGAGAGAATTTAGTGCATATGTAAATTTTAGGTGCATGGCCTGTAAATTTAATCCAAAACTCGAAGCTGGGAAACTGAGACACTAGGGGAGTTAGGTGTCTTAGAATGGCAATCCAAAGAACCCACTTGCCAGCATAAGAAGTTGACTCATACTACCCAACAAGAAACCCACAGGGTACAACTGAAATGTGGGCCCCCTTTGAAATTAGGGCCATCCAAGTCAAGCCAGAAATGTACTTGTAAGGGCAAACAGCTATAGCTATTTTGTTAAGAAATAAAACCAGCCAATTTCTTTTCAAAAGGCAGTTGCTAGAAGAGGTGGTGGGACCACGGGTAGAGATACCCTCTACCCTTATTATACAATAGCTTAGTGGTAAGACCACTTCCCCAGTGGGAAACCCAGGTTCAAGGCTTTCCTCAGCTTGAGAGGGTTCAAATCCACATCTCACCTCCAGGAGAGTGCCTTAACCATGAAACTATAAGAATGCATTGTATCTGAAAGCCTGTTTAAGTCTATACAAAGCATGCAGTTGGTCCAATAAAATATCTCATCCAATAACATCTTAGACATCAGGCTATAAGCTACTGTAGGTGGAGGCTCCTGAAGTTATGCTACTGTGCAGAAAGAAATGCAAAATCCAATCCAAGGTATCAGAAACAAGGAAGTAAGAAGAGACTCTAAGTTAAGTAGATTCAGGCATCTAAAGTTTGCTGAAGTCCCATATTAGATGCACAAATCCTTTTACTTTTTTTTCAATCTGACTGTAACTTCACTTCATCTTTTTCAAAATAGCTTTTTCATGCTCATTTTAAAGCATGCAACTGATGTCAAAAAAGTTCATGTAACCCATAAATGTAGAAATATATTATATTCATATACAGAAGTATTGATTGTGCAGGCCCTTCATTTTCCCTACCCCAGGAGACAGCTATAGTCAACTTGAAGAAAAATACTTCTTTGAATATAGATGGCATGAGCCTAGGTAATATATGATTCATTTTAACGAATTGTGTGTTGGTTCTCCTAGAGAAGGATTACAAAAAAAGAAAAAAAAAATCAAAGCACACTGAATTAAATTCTAGGATTACAATAATTAAGGTTGGTTAAATAATGCCTTCAAGAACTCAAAAAGAGTAATTTTTTCACTTAATTCTCTCTCATTTAAAAAACCAAATATGCTATGGAACCAGGCCAAATTTTAACATTTTTTGTTTAAATTGATTTGCTTTCTTGATAACTTCTATTAATATAACGAAGTTTTGCTTATGATAATTCAACTACTTATTTGGCAAAATGGTAACAAACGTGTTTTCTTTTTCATGTATTACTTCCCACAAATAAGCCTTTTCTTTCCAAACCCAAACCTTGTTTGGATAAATGCTTGACTTGTTTAACATTGTATAGCAGTTTAAGTATAATAAATCAATATTGCTAATAATCCCAATATACATTTATTTGACTTAGTAAGCTTAATTTCCAAATGATTGCTTAGTATTTATTAACATTTCTCCTGATTTCTGTTTATGGTACTCCCATTTTTATATCTCAAGTTTTATTTCTGATTGCTGTATCACTGCTTTGATGACTCCTGTGGCAGGAACAATAGGCAGGGGAAGGGAGGTGCTAACAGGGCTTAGCCCAACCCCCAAAATGTGGGGCAGCAGTAGGGCCACAAAGCAGCCCAGCTGTGGGCTTCCAGTGCCTACAGCAGGGGAGGGAAAGGAGTGGGGTTGAGGCGGGGGCAGGTGCTGCGCAGCTGGTTGGGAAAGAAATTAAGTTCATATATCCATGGAAACTTCTTGAATGAATATTGTATTTTGACTTGTCTAATACAGTATGCCAAATACCATCATGTTCCTTCTGCCCCCCCAATTCATCCATTTGTGTACTGGAAATATAGTCATGCATATGAAATAAAATACAGATATTTTATATCAAGCCATCCATGAGTTATTTTGGTCCACAGTATGGAAATTGACAAAAAGCTTATAATTTCCACAGACAATAAAACTACTGACAAGTTCAACTGCCAATAAATTATTTTTTTACCACAGTCATCTACTCTGCTTCAGATTATCATTGCTCGAATTGGAATTATCATTGCTCGAATTGGGATTTAACATTAATTTAAGACTGTTGGTAATTACCTCTTCATTAGAATTGAATTGATTTAAATATTATACTATCACACTTAAAATTTCTATAGGGAAATTCTTTTAGATTTCTGCTAGATCTCCATCTGTTTTGTGTCTTCACTCAGCCGGAGAACAACCTTTGCCAGCCTCCCATCCTTAACCTCACTGAAACAATTTTGGCATCTAAACTAACATTAGTAACTACTTAAAGAGTTTTTCTAAAGACTACATTGTATGTGTACTTGTACTTATCATGCTCACATGATGTCACTGTGGCTGAAAGGGAAATAGGCACGATGGGACAGACCACAGGTTGGCAACGCTTTTGGTCAGAGTGCCAAAAACACCCGCAACCTTGACTTGTAAGATATTGATGTGCCATGGGCGGACAGTCGGGGAGTTGTTAGGGGCCCAATCCTTGTTGTGGCAGCACAGCCCCAGCCCCTTCCCTGCTGTCCGCACCAAGGCACACGTGCCAAGCAAAATGCCTTGATGAGCCACACTCTGGCATGTATGCTGGGGATTACCTACCCCTGGGACAGACCATTCTTACATCTTGTGTAATCAAAATGGTTTGATTTAGAAGTAAATGGGGTTCTTCTTATGAAACTTTAAAAATACTTTAATAAATATTATACCATCAAAACCGCATAGTTACTGAGAGAGTAGCACTGAATGGTAGTAATATTTTCGTCTGAAGAGATAATGCGACAGCCATCAGACTTCCATCCTCCTTGTCCATTTAGCAGATCAAAATCCCATTGTGCTGCAACAGCATCTGCTCCATGTGCAATCCGTCGCAGTGTCACATTAATAGGAATCTGGTGACTGGCTAGGTTTAAGCCATCTGTTAAAAAAGACAAAACAAAACAAAACCATCCTATCAGTTTATTTCACCACACCAGTGTATATTATGGTGGACAAATTCTGAGCCTAAGAGATGTGCTGACTAAAGCCTTTAGAATATAATCTCAAGGGCCGTGTCCAGATGAGCAAGCACATGCCTGTTGTGGCATTTCAAAGCAGTTTGAGAGACATACTGGGAAATTCTTGAGGGACAGCAGGAGCTGGCCCAGTTCTCCCTGAGGGTTGGCAGACCGGGCTGGCGCCATGTGAAGCTACTGCTTTGAGGTGGCACTGTGCTGCCAGGGGTCTCTGCCAGGAATGGGCATGAATGCCCCGATGGCCGCTGTTGCTGCTGGGGGGAGGGGGGTGGCATGCCGTGCAGGGGAAGGGGCAGGTGAACCACCGCTCCCAAGCAGATCCACCCACCCCCCACAGTCCCCACACACGCATAAACTCCCCCACAATCCACCCACTAACTTCACACCCCCAAACCACCCACACAAATCCCCCACCTACAAACCACACACCCACAAGCCCTACACCACCCCAAACCCCCGCACAAAACTCACAAGCCCCATACCCACCCTAAACCCACCCAGAAACTCCCCAACCACCCCAACACCCCTTGTCCCCCACCAAACTCCACATCCTGCCCCCCACAAATCTCACAGCCTGCATGCCCAGCTGCCATACAGGATGGGACAGGACCTGCTAGCAGGAGCTGTGGCTGCAGGGGCAACTGCCAAACTGCAGCCCTGCCCCATGCCCCCACTAGTGCTGGGACATGCGGCCCCAGTCTATGGGGGCTCCTGGTCCCAGGAACAATTTGGAGGGTGTGATGGGCTACGGGGAAGGCAGCCTGTACAGGGGGCGGCCGGCCTGGAAGGGAAGGAGCTTGCTCAGCCCAGACCCTGAGTCCCAGTCGAGGGCTTCCCAGGAACAACATGAGGTTCCCTGGGGCCTGGGCACAGGTGCAGGGAGCAGAACAGCAAGGACTGTCACTGCTTAGAGCCACAAAGCAGCAGGTGGGACAGCGGCAGCTGAACTCATGTCCTGCTGTTAGGGTAGAGTTCCTGCCGGGAGGGAACTATTGCAGGCAGGCAGGGGCTGCAGGTCAAGAGTGAGGGGCAGAGGGGCTGGGGGTTGGGAGTGAGGGGCAAAGGCATGCACAATGCACCAGCATATCAGTGCTGCTCAGTGCCCCACATCCTGGTGAGTGAAGGGGGCAGGGGTAGCTCTGATGTTTCTATGAAAAAAAAAAAACCAAAAGTAAATGCCAAAGTATATATGTATTTTGAATTTGTTTAATAATGATGATACTGAAATGGTAGGCTTCCAAATTGCTTTAAACTTATAAATATATCAATAAAACATTGTTGAACTGATCTCTATATTATAGTAGCGTTTCATTTTAATCACAGAAGAACACAGATTTGAGGTATTTTAATGAGAGAATTTGGGTTTTTGTATCAGAGTATTTGCAATGTTAAAGCAAGGAACACCAGGATCCCTGCTGGTGAGGCAAGTGACAGGACCTGGGCAGAGGAGCCTGCCCAAGGCCAGCACCAGGTATCCAGCTGGAGGGCGGACAAGGTGGCTAACCTCCTGGCCATTTGGTGTCAGGAGGACACATTTCGACAGTTCAAAGCAGGCTACCAGAAGGAGCACATCTTCTGGGCAATAGCTGCCCAGATGGCAGAGTGAGGACACCAGAAGACATGACAGCAGTGCCACCTGAAGGCCAACTGTGCAGCCACGGCCCACTAGCAGCTGGCCCAGAGGTGCAGGTGGTTCTGATGCAGTGCCTGTACCACAGCCCAGGTGGCTGTGTTGTCCCAGTCTGGGTCTGGCAGGAACGCAGACATGGGGCCACAGGTCCAAGGGTGTGGATGCTGTTGTAGGTGGCAGCTGCAGTAGGTCAAGGATGCAGGGGCCACTCTACGTTAGGGCTGCTTCAGCAGTCCAGTTGGCACAAGGACCTAGTGTCCCCAGATACCAACTGGCTGGGCCTCAAAAGCTCCTGAGGGAAAGCAGCTCTGAGCTGCTGGCCAGGGCAGCATTTTATACTGCTGGAGCCAGCACAGGTGCTGGCCCAATTTTCTGGTTCCCCCTGGCTGAAGATCTGGGAGGAGCTGGGCAGGGTCAGTTTGCCCCAAGTGACAATTTGTCCCACACCAAAGTGCATGTTCAAGCACATGTGCTGAGACACAAATCTTCAGCACAAATTCATGCAACTGCTATCTGAGCTGCTGCAAGCGCACGTACCTGCATATGTGGACGTGTTCAAGAAGGCTTCTAAAGCCTTTACATTTTTCAATGATCATAAAGATATAATAGTGAAAAAAACAAACCTATCTTGGTGAGAATAACCGGGGTCACAACTGTCCGTCTTTTCCCATCATCAGCCAGATTTGTTGAATTTCCTGTTGCCGGGAAAAGTTTTCCATTGCGAAATGCAATAAGTTGAAGCTTGTAGACTAACTCATCTGCTGGCCTGATTTCCCTTTTCTGCTTTTGTGCAAAGAGGGAGGGCGGCAGTTGGATAGACGCCTCTACAATAGTGTTCTATAAATAAACAGGTTTAAAAAGTTTTAACATCTGAACCAGAAGAAAATGTGTTTCATTTAATGTAATAGGCCCTCCTATTCACTAGCGTTGGGATTTTTGTTTTTTTTTGCTTCTTAACAGTGTATGACAGAAATAAATTGATCAGATTGTAAATTGTAACTACATGAACAAGAGTGCTTTCTAATAATCCACCAGACCACTACAGGCTGCCTTGCTGGCTAGCCCCGCACTGAACTACCCTCAGGCCCCAGCCAGCCCCTCTGCAGCATGTTGATCCAGGGAGAGCAGCCCTTGACTCACAGGCTTATCCCCTGGGTAGCTCGGCCAGCCAGGGCTACTCCAACCCAGCTCAATGTGCTGCAGTCCCAGGCGCAGGTGTAGACAGTATGTGTCGAGAAGCAATACACTACAGAGCAATAAGCTCTAGAGTATATTCATGAGCATTAATATGCATGTTTATATGTGCCCTTTGGCAGCTAAATGTGACATGCAGGACTAACTACAGCCACATACAAAAGTAGATGTAAAGATATATGTAGTTACTATTTCATTTAGTGTGACACTATCTACATTCTGTACATTTGCTGCCCATACCCTATTATATTTAGGTAGGGTAGCATCATTTCCATAAATATAATTGTAAATGTTAAGTACATATCTCCAAATGAGGTTTCAGAATGTTAAGTGGTAATGGCAAATGTATTTTCTGTGCAGTCAACAACTTCCTATTGTATACAGACAAAAATAAGTTTGTTGGTTTTGTTTTGTAATGGTTTTTATAGTTTATCTAGATGTACATCCACAATCAGTGTAATATGATGTATCTGTTTGGACCATGAGAAGGGGTAATAAAACTGAATTAATTTACTGTAACTTGAAAAGTGCATGTAATATGCAGATAGTAGTATATCAGTGTAAAAAGTAAAAGTATCAACCATTTTCTAATTTATGTTATAATAATAAAAACATATTTTATCATTGGAAATTATTAACTTAAGGTCTCTTTTCAAACAATTCATCTTGTAGTAAAAGTCAATACAGAAACAATGAGTATTAGACCTTTAGTGCCAAGCTTGACAGCGTATTTGAAACATTGCACTTAAAGCTTAGCTGCTTATCTAGGTTTCCATCTGGATCTCTCCTCCCAAAATCAGGTAGTCCTGTACGGTCTGATGTAGCCACTTTTTGAAATACGGTGCAGGTCATTCCAGTGAATCCAGCAGCTTTTATTACATAAGCCTCCAGAGCAATATTTGGGGAGTACTGTGACAACAAATCATATGCTTATTACATAACCTCATCCAATGTAACAAAAAGAATAATGACTAATCTTAAAAGTGTCTACATATTACTTTTATGCAAAGGCCAAAAAAATCTCCCTGTACAACTGGCAGGCAATATAGTCAGAATAATTAAATTAGTTTTTTCCCTGTAGGGATTCTATATATTTGAAACATAAAAGCACAAATCATACAGTGCCAAAATCTATTAAGTAAGAAAAAAGAAACTACGTTTTCACAGTACAAAAAAAACTTTGTTTTTAATACACATGATTTTATACTTACAGTTGAGTAGACTTGAGCCCCATTTGCCAGTCGATACATAGCAATTCTCTGCAAACACTGTACAACTCTAGTGCAAGCTTTGGCTTCCTTTTGTGCCATCCATAACACACGTTCATCAGTTAGCATAATGTTACTTGCAATGTCCACCATCACATCACCAAGCTAGTTAGGAATTGAAAGATCAAAGCTCATCAACTTGGGCTATTCACTAATTTTGATAAATTAGCAAAAAATGCATCATTTACAAGCAAAGATCTTCAGAATCACAATATTACCACTGGCATATAGGAGTAGTTCCCATACCAAATATTTGTCAATAGTTGAATGACTTAAGTTATATTTGCCTCACTGTAAACTAGCTTAACAGAAATATTTTTTCCTATTTTGTTAAAATCCTGCAGCTTCAGAAATGGTGTCTCAAGGCGGGCTTCAGCTTTTTGGACCACGACCCATACTTCAGGACAACAGACATGCTTGGGTGGGATGGGCTTCACCTCTCCCCCAAAGGTAAGCATATGTTCTCTTTCAGGTTGGCCAATCTCCTCTGGCGGGCTTGAAACTAGGCTCGTCAGGAGAAGGGGAGGATGAAGATGGAGGGAGCCATGGAACACCAAACCAGGAGACACCCACAAGGAACAGCCCAGGCAAGACAGGCGACAAGCACAAGAAATACCCCGGTAAGAGACAGGGGCCCAGATACTCCTAGGATTAGGGGGGTGGTGCATACACCTTCAGGAGGCCTTAAATGCCTCTACACTAATGCTCGTAGTATGGGGAACAAGCAGGAGGAACTTGCCCTCCTGCTAGCTAACACAAACCCAGACATAGTGGGACTCACTGAAACTTAGTGGGATCCAACACATGACTGGGTGGTAAACATCAAGGGCTATAGGCTGTACAGGAGGGATAGAACAGGGAGGAAAGGTGGGGATGTGGAGCTCTATGTCAAAGAGCAATACACATCTTTAACAAGCAATACACATCCTCTCAACTCTCCTTGAGAGAGTCCAAAGAAGAGCCACGCGCATGATCAGGTCAGGAAAACACACCCTACAGGCTGAGAGCTATGGGGCTCTTTAGCATGGAAAAGCACAGGCTCAGAGGTGATCTGATGGCTACCTTATAAGTTTATCAGGGGTGACCACCAGTATCTGGGAGAACTTTTGTTCTCCAGAGTGCCCCAAGGGATGACGAGGTCGAACGGTTACAAACTATTGCAAGACCGATTCAGGCTGGACATAGGGAAGATTTTCTTTACTGTCCGAACCCCCAAGGTCTGGAATTGCCTGCCATCAGAGGTGGTTCAAGCACCTACATTGAACACCTTCAAGAAAAAATTGGATGCTTCTCTTGCTGGGATCCTATGACCCCAGCTGACTTCCTGCCCTTCGGGCGGGGGCTGGACTTGATGATCTTCCGAGGTCCCTTCCAGCCCTAATGTCTATGAAATGTATGAAACAGCACTGGGTCAGAGGAGGGGCAGACTAAAGTGCTCTGGGTCAAAATACAAGGGGGTCGGGGGGGAAAGGGACTTAACGGTGGGGGTCTACTACAGGCTACCCAACCAGGGGGAAGAGCTGGACCGGGAATTCTCAGGTCAGCTCAGGGAGGCAGTTAAGTCAAGGGACATGGTCATCATGGGTGACCTGAACTATCCAGACATCTGCTGGGAAGAGCAATCACGTAGGTTCCTAGCCAAGTTACAGGACCTCCATCTAAACCAGGAGGTGCAGTCCCACCAGGGGAAATGCCTTGTTGGACCTGGTCTCGGCCATGGGCGATGACCTGGTGAGTGGACTGCAGGTTCTTGACTACCTGGGCGATAGCGATCATCGCCTACTGGAATTCACCATCCAGGGCAGGGTGTCAAAGGCCTGCAGCAAGGCAGCAGCCCTTGACTTCAGGAGGGCAGATTTCAATGAGGTAAGGAGACTAGTCTGGGAGGCACTGAGGGGAGGGGAGTTAGGAGTCCAGGAAGAGTGGTCGTTCCTTAAGGAGACAATCCTCCAAGCCCAAAGGGTGACAATCACAACGTGGATCAAAGGGGGTAAGAGTGCTCAAAAGCCTACCAAAAGCACATGGCTCACCAAAAGCATCCGGGAACATTTCAAAGCTAAAAAGAAAGCGTATACCCAATGGAAGGGAGGGGCCATCACCAAGGAGGATTATACCTCCATTGCTCGGGATTGTAGGGGGGCTGTTAGGAAGGCTAAGGCAGAGACGGAACTAGAACTAGCTACCTGGATCAAAGATTACAAGAAGTCCCTTTTTAAATACATAGGGGGGTAAAAAGAAGGTATCGGGTAATGTGGGGCCACTGCAGGATATGCTAGGAAATCTGGTGGTCGCACCAGATGACAAAGCTAACCTCTTTAACAAATTCTTTGTCTCCATTTTTCTAAGCAGGGACCGACTCATCCCCCCCACCAGAATCCCCAACGGACCCAGGGGAGGCCCAACCAGACCCAAGGTAAGCAAAGATCTAGTCAGGGAACTTCTGCAGGGACTAGATGTGTTCAAATCAGCAGGTCCTGACGATCTCCACCCCAGAGTGCTGAGGGAATTAGCAAAGGTCATTGCAGGACCCCTGGCACAGCTTCACTAGCACTCATGGTGCTCTGGCGAGGTGCCAGAAGACAGGAAAAGGACCAATGTGGTTCCCATTTCAAAAAAGGGAGGAAGGAGGATCCAGGAAACTATAGGCCCATTAGTTTTACCTTGGTCCTGGGGAAGCTCTTTGAGAAAATTATCCAGGAGCACATCTGCAAGGGACCAGCAGGGAAGATTATGCTTAGAGGCAACCAACGTGGGTTCATTAGAGACAGGTCCCGTCAGACCAACCTGGTGGCCTTCTATAATCAGGTCACAAAATCCTTGGACACAGGTGTAGTGGTGAACGCAGTCTTTCTGGACTTTAGGAAGGCCTTCGACATGGTCTCTCACCCCATTCTCATTAAAAAATTAGGCGACTGTGGTGTCGATGCCTACACGGTCAGCTGGGTTGCAAATTGGCTGGAGGGCTGCACCCAGAGTGGTGGTGGATGGGTCATTTTCGACCTGGAGGGATGTGGGCAGCGGGGTCCCCCAGGGCTTGGTCCTTGGGCCTGCACTGTTCCACATCTTCATCAGTGACTTGGAAGAAGGGGTGAAAAGCACCTTGTTCAAATTCGCAGATGACACTAAGATGTGGGGAGAAGTGGGCATGCTAGAAGGGAGGGACAGGCTGCAATTGGATCTGGACAGGTTACAGGGGTAGGTGGATTAGAATAAGATGGGATTCAATACTGAAGAGTGCAAGGTATTGCGCCTGGGGAGGAAGAACCAGAAGCATACCTACAGGCTGGGGAACTCCCTTCTTGTCAGTGCAGAGGCAGAAAAGGATCTTGGAGTCACTGACTCCAAGATGAACACGGGCTGCCACTGTGAGGACGCGGTCAGGAAAGCAAACCGTACCTTGTCGTGCATCCACAGATGCATCATGAGCAGGTCCAAGGAGGTGATCCTCCCCCTTTATGTGACATTGGTCAGGCTGCAGTTGGAGTACTGCATCCAGTTCTGGGTGCCGCTCTTCAGGAGGGATGTGACCAGCATTGAAAGGGTCCAGAGGAGGGCCACTCACATAATCAGGGAGTAGCAAGGCAGGCCCTACGAGAGGAGGCTATGGGACCTGAACCTGTTCAGCCTCCACAAGAGAAGGCTGAGAGGGGATCTGGTGGCTGTCCACAAACTGGCCAAGGGGACCAGCAGGCAATGGGAGAGTCCCTGTTCCCCCGAGCACTAGCGAGAGTAATGAGGAATAACAGCCATACATTGACTGAGAGTAGATTCAGGAGGTACTACTTCACAGTCAGGACAGCTGGGATCTGGAACCAGCTTTCAAGGGAAGTGGTGCTCGCTCCTACCCTGGGGGTCTTGAAAAGGAGGCTACATAATCACCTAGCTGGGGTTGTTTGACCCCAGCATTCTTTCCTGCCCATGGCAGGGAGTCAGACTTGATGATCTGTCCAAGTGTACTCTGTCCAAGTTTGCGGATGACACAAAGCTGTGGGGCGAAGTGGACACGCCGGAGGGCAGGGAACAGCTGCAAGCAGACCTGGACAGGTTAGGCAAGTGGGCAGAAAACAACAGAATGCAGTTCAACAAGGAGAAATGCAAAGTGTTGCACCTAGGGAGGAAAAATGTCCAGCACACCTACTGCCTAGGAAATGACCTGCTGGGTGGCATAGAAGTGGAAAGGGAGCTTGGAGTCCTAGTGGACTCCAAGATGAACATGAGTCGGCAGTGTGATGAAGCCATCAGAAAAGCCAATGGCACTTTATCATGCATCAGCAGATGCATGACGAATGGATCCAAAGAAGTGATACTTCCCCTCTATCAGGCACTGGTCAGACCGCAGTTGGAGTACTGCGTGCAATTCTGGGCGCCGCACTTCAAGAGGGATGCGGATAACCTGGAGAGGGTCCAGAGAAGGGTCACTCATATGGTTAAGGGCTTGCAGACCAAGCCCTATGAGGAGAGACTGGGGCACCTGGACCTCTTCAGCCTCCGCCAGAGAAGGTTGAGAGGCGACCTTGTGGCTGCCTATAAGTTCATCACAGGGGCACAGAAGGGAATTGGTGAGGTTTTATTCACCAAGGTGTCCCCGGGGGTCACAAGAAATAATGGCCACAAGCTAGCAGAGAGCAGATTTAGACTGGACATTAGGAAGAACTTCTTCACAGTTAGAGTGACCAAGGTCTGGAACGGGCTCCCAAGGGAGGTGGTGCTCTCCCCTACCCTGGGGGTCTTCAAGAGGAAGTTGGATATGCATCTAGCTGGGGTCATCTAGACCCAGCACTCTTCCCTGCCTATGCAGGGGGTCGGACTCGATGATCTATTGAGGTCCCTTCCGACCCTAACATCTATGAATCTGCTCAGGTCCCTTCCGACCCTACCAACTATGAAACTATGAAGAAATTTAAAATTTTCTCAAAAGCAAAATAGCATTACACTTTTTAATTAAATTTAAAACCAAACTAAAACAATACACTTACTACTCTATATTTTAATGAAACATTTAAAATGATTGACATCAATTTTAAAACTAAATAATTAAAGTAACTTCAAAGACCCAAAAATTCATATATTAAATTTCATCCATTCATCTGGATATGTCATGGAATTTTGAACATAATGATTCATTCCCCAAATAATCTTATTTCTTAATCTTAGCAGGGTTTGAAGCTATCACCCTCTCCTCCATTTTCTAATGGAGAATAATCTTTTTTCCAGTGGCCACCTGACAGTTACAATTCACACCATTTATATATAGCCGAATATTTAAACTGCATAAGCTCATACATATTCATTCACATGAAAATATTTTTAATAGCCAATCACAAATTTACGTTTTAATTGACTCAAAAATCTGGATAGTATAAGAATTTGTATACAATAAAACTTGACAACAATAGTTTTACTTCATCCAAGTGAAGATTGTTAATTATGTTGAAAATTCATATTATAAAATGGGTTAACACACCTTTCCAATATACCAACAAACTAAACAAGGATGAAACAGGTTTCACTTAAAGTGGTAAAAACAAAAACAAACAACCCCCCAACAATATACTAACATAGACATTTCAGGTACTATTACAAAAATTACATATGAATTTAACTGAGTTTTATAGTTTTTATTCCCCTCAAATATGGCAGCAATGCCATGCTGCATCAATCAGGATTCAATAAGTTTAGGTAAAAATACAATTCCCTTATAATACAATAAATACTGCAGCAATCTGTAGCATATTCATCATTTAGGTTAGCTAAACTAAGTAATAACTAATGTTAATGAGCAACTTTTCTAACGATTTCAGACACAAGAATTACCTTTAAAATAACTTAAATGTGTTATATATTTAAAAAAGAACTAGCCTGTAAAAATTGTCTATGGAGTTTTGCAGAAAATAAATTACTGTCTTATTTGTATTCTAATTATATTGTGTTCAAATTTTGCGTGTGTTCTTGTGCAACAAGTTTAAAACTGTTCCACTATGATCTTGTATTTTAAAAAATGCATAGTATACTGAAATTAATAAAACCTCTGTTTAGAAGTGAAACAGTGTCTAACCAGAGGGGAATGTTCATCAGCCTATTTTTTCCACATCAAAATGAGCATTCTCTAAGATTTAATTTTCATGTTTTATCACTTATCTTGCAACATACAGGAATACTGAGAAACCTTAAGAGATACAGCTCAATACTGAATAAAGCCAGGCTATCATGAGGGGGAAACGATAAGTCTGTTTTATTCATTACTGAGAGGATCTCTGAGGTTTTCATTATTCATCTTTTAACATAAAAACATTCCAATGAAAACCTGCATGACCCACTCTATATTAAATAAAAGCAGACTTACTGTACCTATCTCCCTGCTCCAATGCTGACCAGAGGTCCAGAAAATGCTGGAGCCTATCAGCGCGACTGTGAAGTCTAAGACCATGGTCAGCAATTTCAAGGACCTACTAAACAAAAAAATGGAACAGAATCTGACACATCACTAACTGATCTGCTGAACCTAAGTGTAGCGGCGAGATGCCCCCACAGGCTTCCGAAGCAGAGAGGGTAATCCCCGCGGACCCCAAACCCCAGAAACAGACCTTCCGCGGGGATAACTTACCTCCTGCTGGGCAGCCCTAGCAGGAGCTGGGACTGCAGCCGTGCGAGCCGGCGTTATGCCGGCTGTTTAATCAGCTGTTTCCCGTGTGGGCAACAGCTGGACCAATAGCAGCAGCCGTACCAGCCACCACAGAAAAGTTTAAAAGCCCCGCCAGAACCCAGGCGGAGGAGGAGCTGGAGAGAGAGAGCGCTGGTGGGCAGCACGCCAGACGTGCTGAGGCTCCTGCACGGGAGGGAAGCGGCACAGCCAGCGCAGCACCAGCAAGCAGAGCAAGGGAAACCTTTGAGCCCCCTGTAGGAGGCAGAGCAGGGGAAGCCCTTCGGTCCCCTGTAGGAGGCCCTTCAGCTCCCTGCGGAAGGCAGACCAGGAGAAGCGTTTAAGCTCCCTGTGAGAGGAAGAGAAGGGGAGGCATTTGAGTCCCCTGTAGGAGGCTGGGGGAAAGAAGACAGCTCCACATCCCTCTCCTCCCCGGAAGAATATTTCTTTTGAAGAAAAAAAAGGAAAAATCAGAGATAGAGAAGGAAGGCTGTGCATCGAGGCCGGAGGGACAAGAGCCAACTGAGCCCACGCAGATGTGGGACCCCACCCAAAGCAAGCTGCGGGCAAGCCTACAGGGCCGAAACCACCATTGTACGGATACCCATCAGGTTGGCAAGTGGACGGGATTTAGGGGAAGCGGAGCCCCGTGGAACACTGCGCCAGAAAATTGTGAGTACTGCCGTTTGCCGGGAGGCCCTCCCAGGAAGATCTCCATTGAACCACCTCTCTTGATAGCATAACATCGAAGTCGTGGCAAGCGAGTTGAGGGGAGGGGCTACTCACCCGGCAGGCCGTGCAACACGTAAGGCCCCAGCGATCACACTAAGGTTCAGAAATTTTTACTATTCAAAACACTTTATAAACTAATATCTAATTTTCCAACCTTAAAATGATCATTCACATCAAGGTTACTTACCTCTTTATACTTTTCAGCAAATCTTCCAAATTTTTCTATCATTTCAGCCACAAAAATAACATCCATCTTATCAGAAAAATTTGCTGCTTCAACAGTGTAAGCCAATAACTGTCTTGCTGTTGCTACTGCATTAGTCAGGTTGAGCGGCATCTATTTAAACAAACATGACCACTTAAGAGAATATAAAATCTAATCATACAATCTCAGGAAAAACAACTGCTTTGTGGTTCATAATTAAGAAACAGTGAAAAAATTCCAATTTTTTGATAAAGCACAATTATTTAATTCCCTCTAGATGCTTATTTCCTTTATATAAATCTAGGCAAAACTGCATTCCAAAATTCCTAGAGCATAAAGATTTATATCCTAGGCTAAGTATAGACAGTCAAGAAGCCCAAGGCTGAATCAATTCAACCTTCGCAGGTTAGACAGTCACTTTTTTATTCCAAAAATGCAGCCACATGCCTGCAGTGGCCCAGGTCAGAAGCCGGGAGGCGCTAGAGCACACCTCAGTGCTCGGCTGGAGCACAGTTTGGGCCAAGGCTAACCTGCCCGCTCTGCAAGGCAGGGGGCTTGCAGAGAAGGTGAAAACCATACTGTAATGCTGGGGGACTGTGAGTTAACTTGCATCTGGAGGGGATCTGGGAGAGAAGTTCAATTAACTAATTTAATTTACCATATTGCACCGTGTACAGGTCAGCACAGTAATCAACCCCATTTTTCTGATCCAAACAGTTAGGAATTTCATAGAACCACTGTATAAGTCGACCTAACTCTCTGGATCAGAACTATGGGGTTGGCTTATACTGGCCCCTGCATGCCCTCAGTGTGGGCCAGGCACCCAGGGGTGGACACATGCGCAGTGCCACACGCGCAGTGCCACACGCAGGGGATGGGGCCAGGCTCAGTGCTTGGCTGGTGTAGCCCCATCCCCTGCAAGCAGCCTTGCCTGGGCTGTGCCAGCAAAGCGCCACGACTGGCCCCATCCACTATAAGCATTGCTGCTGAGTGCTGAGCCTGGCCATGCCAACTGAGCCACTTGCAGGGGACGGGCCAGGCTCAGCACTTGACTAGTGCAGCCCCATTCCCTGCAAGTGGTACTGCCTGGGCCACACCAGTTGAGCGCCAAGCCTAGCACCACTCGCAGGAGATAGAGCCATGGGAGCCAAGTCTGGCTCTGTCTGCTGCAAGTGGTGATGTCGAGCACTGAGCCTGGTCCTGGCTCCTGCGAGCAGCAGTGCTGAGCACCAAGCCCAGCCCTGTCTCCTGCGAGTGGCTTGGTGCTCATCAGCACCACTTGCAGCAGATGGGGCCAAGCTTGGTGCTCAGCTGGCGCGGCCCAGGCAGTGCCACTTGCCGGGAATAGGGCGACACCAGCCAAGCCTCATGCCCGACCCTGTCCCTGTTCCCTGCGAGTGGCACTGGGCTTGTGGCTTGGCTGGCATGCTCCATCGCTTGCGAGCAGCATTGCCTAAGCTGCACTGAGCCTGGGGCTGCTTGCAGGGGACAGAGATACAGTGCAAAAGTCAAGGTTGAATTTTAAGAGTTAAAAACTGGGCTTCAAAACCGACTTATACACCGTGAAATATGGTAAATCAGTTAAGTCTGATAGTACACTGATCCAGGTTTATCCATCTTAAACCAGTTTTGGCCATTTTGATAGTGGTTTATGTGCACTGAACTTCTGTTGTGTTATAGATATGAACCAGTTCCTGATCACTTATACCGGCTGATATATAATTTCTGTCCCTAGCCCTAGAGAGAAATAAAAAGTTCAGAGAGAAGCACAAAGGGAACATAAAATTCATTATAATATCTGGAATCTTAGAGGGAAAAAATTAATCTGAACAAATAACCAGAAAATTTCCCTCAGACTTAAAAATAAATAAAAGTCAAGGTACCATTCCTACAAGTACTAAGTGGGAGACCCCTGCAGCCTCATGTATTCCTTTTGGACATCTGCTGATTGTGTACAGATATATCAGCCTAGTCTTTCTGCAGGATTGATTCCTCTGGAAGTAATTCAAAAGGAAGCAAGGAAATGTTTCTAGTGAACAACAGAAGGTATTTCATTGTCCAAATAGTTTTGGTGGTTTAGGTGTACAATTAGCAAAATCAAATTTCAGAGATCACAAACTTTATATAGTTTCTTAAGCTTTTGTGCTTTGAGTCTGTTCATTCATATTTCATAAAAAGATCATATTCATAATATGCAAGTCCTAGGACAATGCATACCATTCTGTCTGGTTAAACATTTCTATAACTTTTCCTTTACGGCATGAAAGAATTCCTTTTCACATACAAGTAAATACAGAAGTCACATTTGAACTTTTTATTTTAGACAGCTATCCCTTTCATTTTTGGAGACAGACTTTCTTGTCTAATTAAATCAAGCCAACACTAAAAAGATAATGATACACCTAGTATTTTCTTAGAGACAAAAGTAGTGTGGCAAAACCACTCTTGGCAAAACGAAGCTCTCGCTTGGCATGTAAATTATTTTTTACATAATTATAGCTCTTAAAAGACTCAAAAGTGGACTGTGTCCCATTGTGTTAGGCCTGGTACAAATATATTTTAAGAGACTGTCTGACCTCACATAAAATGACAAGGCACAGAGAATAAGAAAGGAGCACCATCATCGTCTATGTTATAGTTGGGGAAACTGATGCACAGAGAGATTACGTGATTTCTCCAAAGCCACAGGAAGCATGAAGGACTTCAACTTAGATACCATGATTTCCAGCTGATGTTTTCATGCTAGTATTATAGTAAATATAGTATCCTTAACTCCTTTGAAGAACTACTCTTAATGGTTTTGCACATACTATTTTAATTATAGTTAATACCAAACAGCAGAGAGAGTATTTTAACAGCCAATGGAAAACTATCTTGAGTTTTAGGAATGTTTCATCTGAAGCTATAATAATTAGTAGAACTATGACTGATGACAACTGCCTGGCAAATTCAGCAAATTTTGATGCTGTTTCAATTATGCGTAATAGAGTAATTTTAAGGAGTCCTTCTCCCTTTCAATCAAAATAGGGTCTCAGGCCTTGGAAAATATACAAAATAGCAGAAGACCCTCATTTGTTTATCTTCTTGAGAAAAGTAAATTGTGTTTAGATTTCAAAAGGTCCAGAGCTTTGCACCTAACCTTAATTTGTAGGATGTATCTTTTAGTAATAATATTAGAGATACAATTTAATATTAGTAAGTTTTGTTCTAGCTTTAAGGAGTCTTCTTTTCCCTTTTGATTTTTTTTCTTTTAAATAAATCTTTCTGGGACAGAAAAAAAATCTTGAAGGTTTACCAAAAATATGAAAGATCAAGACCACTGTATTTGGTCTGGTTTGTTTTCATATTATTTAAAATTTATTTTTCTGAAGAAGGATTACAGAATGGCTTTACTCTGTTTGTAAAAGGTTAATTGTTTCCACAGTTTTGCTATCTAGCAAATGATCATAATTCACTGAAAGGATAATAAATGAATTTTTATGTACTAGCAATGATATTCTAAAATGTGAATTTGTCTCTCAAAGAGTAAGGTGTAATTATTTACAAGATTCCTGTTGGCATATATAATTATTGCTTATTATGACAGAAAGGGAACCATGTCCAGACCTATTCAAAGCAGTGTTTTTAGTGAACAATTATCCCTTAACTGACATTATAAATCCAAATGTAGATAAAAATTATTCCTCACTGTATCTTACTATGTGGAGTGTCTACATTTGTTTTTTAATAGCATTACCTTGCATTAACTGACAATCAAATTAAGTATAATAAAACCACACCCCAATCTACACAGGGCCTGAAAATGCATCAAGACCAAGGACTATGGAGTGAAGAGTTTACACCTTTTTTTTTTTAAGTAATTCATTCTCTGTCTCCTTCACTCCTCTACATATTTTAAGCATATTTCTAACTACATAGTAATGAAATGATTTATAATCTCTAAATTTTATGTATAACCAAGTGATGCTCCACAGTGATCCTGTGTGATTAAATTAGAGAGGAACCATAACTATAGCACAGGATTAAATATTAAAGACCTGATGTCACCTCTTGTGTCTTGGTGAGGGTTTTTGAGATTGCTAAAATTCCCTTCCTCACTCTGACAGGAAGCTAAACCAAATTCTTGTGTAATCCTGCAGGCTCTAGGGTTAAACTAGAAATCAAAATAATGTGAAATCATCATAAAAGAGAGGCACAGACAAAAATCCAAAATCAAGACTCAATATATCATAATTACTGTCAGTATGGAGATTTTTATTTTATTTTCATGGAGAACTTCACTGAGTTTATTTGAAACTTTATTTCACAAAATACAGAGAAGTGTAGGTTACCTGATTAAACATATATAGCACTCGAGTGACATCATTCGCATATTGGCACCGAGAATAGTCTTCTTCTGCCCAGAATCCTCCCCTATCACATCTGCGCCAAGCTCTTCTCTCATCCTGAGAGCTGCCTGGATATATCCCACTGCCAGCAGAGTAGCGAGTACACAGTAGGTATGCAGTAATGCCTGCCAATGTTCTAGGCCACCTAGAGAGTTGAAGGCAAAAAAACTAGACAAATTTACATGACAAGTAGAAAAAAAATTGAATAAATAAAAGAAATAAGCACTATGGCTCCAAATAAATAGCATACTTCAAAATTAAATATCTCCAAATTATTTAAAAGACCACCTTGGCAAGCCTTCTCTATTTGCAAACTGTGTCTGTATCCGAATGCTATAAACAAAATGAATCCTAATCTTGGTATCCCATTGTTTCAGTTCGCTCATGAGAATGCACATTGGGAAAAGGTAAAAGTTATACATAAATTCACAAGAAAGGGTGACGACAATTTTGTTACAAAAGGGAATTAACTAATTGTTTTATGAAAAGATTTCCAGAGTAATGGTCTTTAAATGAATGTTGAATATATTATGGGATGTTCTGGAATTTTTCCACTCATCTGTATCAGCACAACTTTCAGATTTACTTCATGCTGATTCCCAATCAATGGGAGTTTAAAAAAAGAAAGGAGAACGCAACTGGACCAGTACAACCACTAACTGGAAAAAAAATACCCCAAACTATGTAACTTTGGAATTGTCCAATCAAACTGATGTCTGTTGTCACAGTAACTAGACATTAATTTTCCCCTGAGAACCTCTGACCTATAATGTCAAGCAAAAGGAAGAAAGGGGTTGTTGAAAGGAAGCAGGAGTTTTAACTTCTGCTGGTCTGAGACCATAAGGAAACTGTCTATCCTCTCTTTTCTTACTCCTCTCTATTAAAGTCAGATATTACAGGAAAAAAATGAAACTACAATAAGGGTTAATTACAATGATAATTCACTGCATCAAAACTGCACAAAGTATTAAAATATGCAAATAACAATATTAACAATGAGTGGTTAAAAAACAAGGAAACATCTCTGTCATCTTCAATTCTTCAAAACTATCAACTGAATAAATTAGCTTAATTAAAATGTAGCCAATTGCTTGAAAGTGCAAAAGGAGTCATCAATTGACCACCACAGCTTTTCCACTTGGTATGCAAATCAAACTAAAGCAAGCTCTCCTTCAGCAGAACTGAAATTAAAGTTCAACCCTAAACAATGCCCACTTATCAACAGGTTAAACCTGAGCCATTTTCTCCTAAAGCTTCAAGGGTCAAAACAATATTATAACTTTAAAAATTACTATGGCTAAGTACATAAGAACTCTTTCTAGGTCTACACTTAAATATACAGTAATTTACTGAAATGTAATTAAAGCTATATCTGGTTTAAAATAATCTCAAAATGTGTCTAAATTTGAGACAATGTTTGGAGAAAGAAGGAACGAACATCCTGAAGAACAAAGAAAGGAGCTAAAATTAAGGGTCACTAGTGCAATATAAACCTTTGTGAAAGCTGTCTCACTATAGAAGTAGGAACCCCTGCAATGGGTTAAAAACAGATGAAAGAGATGGTAGCCACCAGTTTCACTGGTAACACAAGTGATCAACTTTTATGTGGCACACAGTGGAGTAAGATGCACCCTGGAGATCAACACATGTTTGTGTTTATCCAGGGTGCCCAACTGGCAGCCTGCAGGCCATATGCAGCCTGTGAGGGGTTAAATGGCAGGCCCCCAGATTCCTGACAGGTTTCTCCCCACCATATTGCTCTGGCTGCAACAGTGGCAGGAGTATCTGGGCTACCCTTCCTTCTCCAGCTGTTCCTGCCTGTCCCCACCCCAGAGTGAAGGGCAGCGTGGCAGCCGGGGGAGCAGAGGGGGAGCCTGGAGTGCATGGTGCAGCAGGGAGCGTTGCAGTCACGCAATGCTGCAGCGGTGCACAATGTAGCGGGAAGGGAGGCCCACAGGTGCAGTAAGGAACTGTGAGCATGCTGTGCAGTAATGGATGTGGAGGGCCAGGGGTGTGTGTTGCATAGCAGTGTGGGGAATCATGGGCACATGGTACAAACACATGGTGCATGGATTGGGAGGAAGGGAAGGGGATGGAAAACATGTGGTGTGCCAAGGAAAGGTCGCTCCACACATCTGTGGGATGTGTGGCCCTGGGGAACTGTGGCTCACTGGTGTGGCCAAACTGGTAAGGCCTCCAGCTGCTTGGAAGTTGGACAGTCCTCACATAGATGGTTTCATCTATAGAACTAAGACTTCTTCCACCAGGGTGTGGTGTTCCAGAAAGATTTCTGAATAGAGTTAGAATCCACGTAATGAAGAAGGAAAGTACATCTTCGAATAAAGGTTCGTTAATTTAGTAACGAGAGCTTTAAAATAGGTTCAACAAAGAATGGACACAAGAGCCCTATGATAAGTAAAAAGCAATGCCAGCAATGAGGAGGCAACATGGGGCATATTAACAAGGTTGTAAGAGGGAAATTAGCAGGGCAGGCAGCTAGTCATGTAAGCTACTTATATACTAATGCAATAAGTATGTCGAATAAGCAGGAAGAACGGGAAGTCTTAGTACACACAAAATTATGATGCACCTGGGATAACTGATAATTCACATTACTGGAGTACTGTCACGGGTATATATTGTTCATGAAGGAAAAAAGGAGAAGGTGTTGCCTTTTAAATTTTAGACACACACACACACACACACCCCCACACACCCACCCACCCACCCACCCTCACACCCTACCCTGCTCCTCCCCCCGACCCTGGTACAAAACAAAGTGGAAGGCAGGTCTTTTGAAAGACTCTGGGTTACAGTAAAAGAGGAAAACAGTAAGTGTGGTATCATAATGGGTGTCTATCATAGACCACCAAGCCAGAAGGAGATGGAAAAGGCTTTTTAAACCACTAACTAACCAATGTACCCAAATCATATGGAATTGTGCAAACTTTAATTACCTGCTGGCAGGTAATACAGCAGTAAACATACAGTTGAACAAATTTTTGTAGCCTGTCATGGACTTTTTGGTACAAACAACAGAGAAAACAAATAAGACCTCCTTTCAATTTACTGCTTACTAATAGCATACTTAATTAAGAAACTGAAAGTGGAAGGCAATGTTGAGTGACAATAACCATGAGATTAGGAAGAAAATCAGAAAAATAAAACAGTGGACTTCAATCCAGAAGAGCTGGTCATACCCTAAACAGATGCTATTAAGGGCATCTTAAGAGCATGCTATCCTGATGCAAACAATGACTAGGAAGCAAAGCAAGAGACAGTCTTAGCTAAACAGCAAACTCCTCAATGACTTGGAACTTGAAGAAGAGTCTCACAAAAAGTGAAAACTTGACCATATTACTGAGAATTATTATGAGAGTGTAGTATGGGTATTTAACAAGGAAAGTAAGAAAGGCCAAGGCACAAACTGAGTTATAAACAGCACGGGACATAAAAGGCAACAAAAAAGCTTTCTATAAATATATGAACTAGAAAGACCAAAAAAAGCATAGATTCCTTATTGAAAAGGGAGGGGAACCTAATAATGGATGAATGCAGAAAAGGGCGAATTGTTTAATGACTTTACTTCAGTCTTCAGTCTAAAAAATTGAACTACAAGATGGCAGGTACAGTTAGCATCAAGGATGGGGGAAGGAGATAATCAGTTTGGAGTAGGGAA